AAAGCCACAAGAACGTTTCCATATAATTTAATAGTTACATGTTCTCTGTAAGCCCGTTGTTATTTCAGCTCTCACATTTTTAGTTTTTCTTTCTCTCTCCCCAAAATGTTCCTTTCCTTCATCCCTGTTCAGGGTGGGGGTGTTCTGTGCCGAAGCCAGTCGCACACGAGATTGGCGCCAGATTTGATCGTCTGTTTCCGTGAGAGTATCAAATCCAAGCTAAATGTAACAAGCCCCAGTGGAGCAGTAACCTACGAGACTCACACCTGCATCCACGGCACTTTGCCCTGCCAGTGCTACACTGTAATGTAACTGGATGGCTGTTTTTCCCATTAATCACATCATCCAGATGTGCTTTACATGGAGCATTCTAGCATCCAGTAACAGCTCCCTCTTTTAGGACAATAAGCAGGTTGAGTTCACCACAGTGCACCCCCTGACAAAGCAAACCATGTAATTAAAGCTCAGATTGACATCTCTACTCGGCAGCTGTGGTGTTTTTCCACCTGTCATCTCTATGCCAAGCAGAGCCAAGCCTTCAAATCCCATTGACATCTAGCTGATCTCCCCTTTCCTCAACAAAAAAGAGAAAAGGTCATAACAGCCTTTGAGGCTTTAATGATGTGTTAAAAAAAAATCTGTGGAAAATAACGACCCAAATCACCTTTTCCTGGGCTCTGCTTTTGTGTCGCGCCTCTTACGAGAAGGCAGGGCACATGATTACCAGGCCAGGTCTGTTCTGCTCATCAGAGGAATAATACTGTTTAAGCAGAGCTGGATGTTTTCTGCACTCCATCATTGAGACATTACATCTACCGCCATGGCTGCTTACGTGAAGAAGTCCCAAGTTCATTACTCATTATCCGGCAACCTTTGTCTGAAACTGACTATTCTGAAAGCAACTTATCAAATCATTTGGCTTTCAAATATTCCTAATCAACCGTTGCAATGTGATAGCCCAGATGTGCAACGGATGACAGAGTAGGAACAGGAAACAGTCTGGACAAATGTCTGCATTGGGAAAAAGAGAGTCCAAAATCGAAGTCGTTTTTCTTTATTTGATATGGTGGTCGTCATAGAAAGAGGAAGGAAGTATTTATCCGTGGTATCTCTGGCAGAAGATGTGGTCGCTTGATGTCTGATCTCACTGCGACTGAGAAGATCTGCAGTCACGCCTGTTTGCTCCCCAGCACCCATTGGGCTGATGCCTGCAGCCAGTCCTCGCTATGACCTCACACACTCGTTAGTGCCAAGGAAATAACCCTTGGGTGTTCCAGCACGGCTCAGAGTACAGAGGGTGGGGCCCTTCTGTTCATATGGTGCACTGACAATCAGTCACACACAACATTGCACTAGTACAGTATGAAGCTGAAGTCATGAATGTGCTTTCTCTAGCTCCGTGTTGACCCGACTGTCATAAATCGTAAGGTCCTCCTGTGCAAGACCTGCATCCTGCTCCATTCCAGATGTGTTTAACGGCCTCTCTGGGCCACAGGCCCTACTGCCTCTCTTGGATAAACAGAGGCCTTGTCGATCTGCAGTGGCTCATTGACTCCTCTTTTGAATTGTGACCCTATTAGAGGAAAGTCAAAGTCAACAATCACAGGCTGGTGATTAGTAACAAGTATCCATGTTTGGACATTGTTTGGAAATAAAAATCTCTTTATTCAGAGAACACCTGCCACATATGAACTTTTGTTTGCTCTGACCTTGATTTTCTTCATTTCCTCTTCTCTCTTTTTTAATATATAGCATTTGATTTATGCGCTGCAGCCTGGTCACACATAACCATGTCATCATGTGCCGTGATATACAGCTCGATTAATATTTCCCTGGTCTAGCTGTGGGATCAGGGCGGGTACTCATCATGCTCAAGCTCCAGAGACACAACTCTTGCCAGCATTGAGCACATTAAGAACGTCCTGAGGAAATATCACACGGTCCAGCAGCACTGAGTCAGGCTTCTGACACCAAACTGGAAACGTATGGGTTTTTCAGCTCTTCAGTCTGTTTAGGGTGATCTCCAGCTACTACTGTCTCTGGTTTGGGCCATGAATTAAGATTTCACGTCTAGCACCTGCTGAAATGCAGTTTTGCTACCAGAATACAGCTTAATCTGGTTGTGGAAGCTAAATCCTTTCTCTTTCTGTCAAATGAAAATCCTTTGCCATTTTCGTCTTTCTCATCTCCATCAACCACTGTCTGCAGTCGCCCTGTCCATGACCACAGTTGACCACAACACACCTGAGTAAATACCCTCCCACTGAGTTCAGACAGAGTCTCCAGGCTCCATCACAGTTGTATCATGGCAGCAGGACCTGGCCTCTGTCCCAGGAGCCAGGACCCCTCTGAACCGCTGCACATCGGACAAGTAGCTCATTGTGTACGATGAGGAGGCATGGAGGAAGTTTCCATGACATGCGTTTCTGCATATACACTCTTCTTTTCCAAATATCTTCTCCAAGTGTCCCATCCTTGCTCATTTAAAGGTTAACAAAGGATTTTATTTTTACATTTTTGTGAGAATACACTTTAATTTTGGATTGCTGCAGCTTGAGAAACGGCATGGGGTTTGTATGTTTAAACTGCATTGGCACTGGAGTTTCAACACAGTTGTGCCCTCTGTGGGTAAAAGCATAATATGATATGCAATTATTTATGGTACTTTTTCTTTACACAAATCCCCACAATGTTAGCTTTTATCAGTATCAGGAAAGACATACTGTTGAGCTGAACATTATCTCAATTGGATCCGCATCATTTCTTAATAATCCTCTAAAGAAATCTTATTTTTTGCTAAATTATCCTAGGCAGCAATAAAAACACAACTATAACTCTTCTACTGACTACAGAATTGGTCAGTGTGAGAACCCGTCAAGACAGTTTTTTAATGACACAGAGGTCACAGAGGCCTTTCAGAGCTCAGTTTCTGCTCTGCGAAGCAAATTATTTTACATATAATGATCTGAAGAACTGGCAGCATCATTTGTTTGCCTGGTGGGGCATGTGGGTGCAGCACCGGGCAAGGCCTAGAGAGCTAATTAGGCGGCTAAAAATGCTAAAATAATTTTGAATGGCATCACTACGACGTTGCTGCTGGGATTCCTTTAAGAATTTCATTCAAATGTCAACATACTGGTGCACGGGCACACATGAATGAGGCCCAGTGCCTAAGATGGCTCAAAGCATATTATAAAAAGTCCTATCAGAATAAACTTTAAGGTTTATAACATTTCTTTTCACAACAGTCTATGTTTCACATATAGTGACGTCAAGTTATACCATTTGGGGTAGGCCACATATTTTTTTAATTAAGTTATTATTCAGAAAAGCTGCAGAGTCTCTGCTCTGTGACCATCGCAGTGCATTTAGCAAAGTGGGCTCACAGTCATGATGGAGCAGCAGCACCATCTAATGTTAAAACTGGGTAGTATTACTCTTTTTGTCAGAAAAATGTAAATTGGGGGAATTATTCTGCAAATTGGGGAAAAATAACTAAAGTTGAATCCTTTGAGAGCCAAAATACAAGAAACAGTGTAAGGCCGCAGAGAAACAAATAATTAATAGCAAAACAAAGACAGAATTAACAAAAAAACAAACAGCCTTTGCAGAAAAGCAAAGGTTTGTCATTTAAAGTGGGCCTATCATGCTATATTTTAATAATATAGTGTAGGACCATACCTATATAAGGCATATTTATACTTTTTTTTTTTCAAAATACCAAACAGATCATGCATTTTAGCCATGCCTCATTCTGCTCAATTTGCACTTTTTTAGCCCTGTTTTTGCAAGGGCTGATTCTGAGAGAACAGCTGCACCTACAGGCCTGGCATATGTACTACAGCATCTCCAGCGCTTTCGAACGGCAATGGCCGTGGCTGTCTCCTCCTGATTGGTGGAGTTGGCCCAATAGCCGTAGCGCCACCGTCCTGACGTCAGTAAAGTGTTCAAATCTGTATCAGTCTGTATCAGATCTGTTGCAGCCCCTTTTTTAGAGATTTGGGTATGGAGGAAAAGAGAGAGGGTTGTGTTTTCTGACTCTTGGTGAGTTCCCTGGAACACCGGGGACACATATTCATGTATAAAAGACGTACAAAGGTGCATTTTGCATGATAGGTCCCCTTTAATCTTGAAAAAAGCAATCAATCACAAAAGGCACGGTCTATACATATAGTCGTCAAACAACTCAAATCAAATCATAGTGAAATCAACATGTATGAATTCAACTGTATCAACTATATTTGTTAATCGATTAAAGAGATAAAAAGTTGTAAACGTTAAATAAGTGTCATATTGAATTCATACTGACTAGCTACCGGTCCTATTCTTGTTCACAATAAATAACGCTATTCCTGTCATAAACGTATGATTTTACTATTCATTTATCTCAAACAAAAGTCCAGAATACAAAACAGCACCAAAAGAGGAAAATAAGAAGTAAAAAAACACTGCAACAATTGACACAAAAAATCACAATAACCAATAATCTGTCACTCGAGTACTGGAGGAGTTAGCACCGGTCATAAGCACCATATATCCTGCAATACGCCTAAAGAATTTCGCTTAGACTTTTGGTCAAAAGCAAAGAGAGGAGTAAAGGCTGAATATGTCTTTCTCAATGCATCTGTAAGACTAAGAAAGTGCTGCAGGACTAGTTTCCCTCTGAAAAATGCACTTTAAGGTTTCTAACTATTACTAAAATACTGTTAGTATTATCTATCTTAGAGTTGATATAGTCAATTAAGACAAATGCTCAGTAATCTGCCACAGTGCTTTTGCTTTATCTATAATCTACAGGTACTGACCTCACCTGTCAAAGTCCCATCAAAATGCCCCAGATTTGTAAACTCTGGAAAGCCTTTGGGTGGTTGAGTCTCTAAGGAATTCATTGCTTTATTTGGTGTAAGCACAAGTGTGAATAAACAAATAATAATTCTTTAACGTTTATTTTAATGATATGATGTAAAGTTGTAAGTCACTGTTGATAGAGAGGCCGGAGATCACAGGTGACTCGCTCTGAGACGTCCAGGAGACAGGCTTCTTTTTTTAAGAAATGCCTAAAAAAAGATAGTATTGTTAATGAAGCGTACAACAATTTAGTTAAATTTAAAGAAAACAAATTCAAATGAAAAGGGGTTTGAAGTTCATACCCTTAAATCCATGGGTTTGCATGCATGTTTAATAGAAAGAATGATACATTTGAGATTTAAATCAAGCTGAATGTTAAACCAGACAAAAAATGCAATCTTCTTGAACAAAACCCCAAATGGTGCTTATGGCTCTGTGTGTTTGGTTGTACTGTCAAAGATTATAGAGACTTACAAGACTGCGAGTTGGGCTGAGTGAGCGAGAGCGCACGGGGCTGGTGCTCCTGCTTCTACTCCACTGCAAAAACAGATGTATCACAAGAAAACACAACATTATGTTGAGCTTTCAGGGAGGCCTTACTCTCCAGAGAACACTTCAATTAATTATATTTTTGAAGTTTTATACAGTCAGTACCACAGAACCCCTTCTTGTCACAGCCTCGCCCTTCACTACCACAGCATCTCCTTCCAACAGGGAAGGCCACACATGGTACATCACCAGAGGAGCAGTTAACTCAGAGTCATAGCTACGGCGATACCTGTCAGTCAGAGAAGAGGTGGAACAGAGAGGGAGAGCTGTGAGAATTGATGTGTGTGAGGGCGACATCTACTGGTAGAGACGGCAAATAACCTAAGGAATATACTGGCCATGTTTTACAGGTCATGTAGCATCACATGTTACTTGAACACTTGTACAGCATTCCGTTAAAAGACAGACTGTAATTTAGACACAGTAATGTACAAAGGACTGACTTGCGGTCGTTGTAAAGTTCTCCATCGCTGGCAAAGGAAAAGTCAAGCGGGGGGTCCAGTGTCTGCATGGCAAACGCCACCCTGCACATCTCCCTGATCAAGGTACTGATGAGGAAAAAGTCCACCTCTGGCGGAAAAGAGATCCGAGGGTTCACATTCATGGCATTGATCACATCCTGGGGAGAAATTAAACACAAAGGTCAGATGCCTCGTCCGTTTTAATAACATATTAGTTTGTCCATAAATGCTGCAGAGAGTAGACATAAAGGGTTTAGTCCTACATTGATGCTGGCCTGAATGTCGTAGAGGTCCAGGTTTCTGACGATGTAGTCCACTGCTGCATCCTCCAGGTTTTCTAACCCAAAGTGCGGGGACAACGTCTTTCTCACTCGCAGCTTGAACTGACGGTAAGCCAGTTTTGCTGTCTTAAAGGATTCCTGAGACACGGTGACAAAAAACAAGATATTTAAAAGTAAATTGCTCTAAATATAAATTAGTCATAATATGAACCCTGATGAAATCAAGCACATATGAAGTCAATTTAAACAGATAGGGCACTCTTTTCTCTCCATGCTCTTCTGATCTGCACATCTCTCTAAAACAATTTCAGTCATACCACGACGGCAATGAAGATGATTTTCTGGACCATCTCCACGTCATCAATGTGGCGTCGAAGAATGACCTGGGCCTCCAGCCGCTCCACCGCGTACAGGTCATTGAAGCGTGATATGAGGCGTGCGTAGCGGGAGGAGTTGGTGAGCTGTGCTCTGGTGGGCGACTCGCTCCTCATCGGGCTGGAAGAGCGACTGAGCCTCGGCAAGGGGCTCGGAGAACGACTCCTCACCAACCTGAAATACAGAAGAGAAACGTTATCATTCGAGTCAGTTCTGTGTAGTGGTGTCTGTGTGCACATACAGTGATGGCATGTTTACCTCTCCTGCAGCACGGTCTTGTCTGTGCTCAGGTAAGACACTTCATCTTTGAGCAGGCGAATCTGCCGCTCATAATCAATGAAGGCCGCCATCTTCCTTTGATAACTCTCCACTTGCTCATGTGCAGATCTCAAACTGAAAGACAGACATGCTTCACATCAAGAAAAGTAGCACGCCACATCATGTATATTTCACTTGAGAGCAAATAGATCATGGCACTATTTTTAGTGAATCACCCACTCTGCTTTCAGTTGCAATATTTCTTCTTCAGTTGCCAGCAGAGTAGTTGCTGACTCTCTCTTTGTGACATCCAGTTCCTGCTGAGTATCGACCAATCTGAAGAGATACAAAATGAGATGATATACATCCCAATTTTCCATGGACTTTTATCCAAATACATTTAAACCCGAGCCATGCTAGTTGAGGAAGGAAACGGAATGACTGCTCTGCTTCTGCTGTCTTATATCTGTTGGACTCACTCTGCTCTCATGGAGTCCAACTGCAGGCGAGTGGAGCACAGCTCGGTGTCCTTCCTCTGTATGTCACTGTCAAGGGAGGCAGAGAGCTCCCTGATCCTTCGGTCCTTTTCAACTGAATCCTGATCAAAACAAATTATATCCAGTTACCACAACTGGAGATGTACATATTGAAGAGAACTCATTGTAATTTGTTGGACACTGTGTGTTACACTGGATTATTTTTGATGGATTTCCTTATAGGATTGTTATAATAAGCAAAGTAAAAGCTTGTCACCTGGATGAGCTGCAGACTGGTGTCATCAGAGACCACGGGCCTGGCCATGGAGAAACAGGTTCCAAGCCACGGCAGCAGGCGAGTTTTGAGAGTGTCCACTCCAGCATAGTGTCCACCTGAGTCATCAGTGTAAAACCAGTGAGTGTGAAGAATAGCTTGCTTGTTATTATGAGAGGGATAATGCTATACTGCTGTGTTTTACTATACTGCCAATATAAAGCTTACCTTCAGCAGCTGTGTGGTTAAGGATGGCAAACAGTTGACCTTGGACCTTTGCGGTTAGTTCAATCAGTTCACAGCATCTATTTAGATTGTTGTCACAGGAAATAACCTGGGAGGACAAAAATTATAAACAATAGGCTAATGAACGACAACGTGAAGTTAGTAGAGTTCATTTCAGACATAAGATGACAAGGAGAATGACTATTCAGCTAGTTTTTTATTAATGTAATCAAATATTTAAAAGCATGAAGCATTTTAAATTGCAAAATGTAACAGGCTGCAGCTACTGTATATGGCTGTTTTGTTGTATATTTTATTTTGTAGCTTAATATACAGTATTATGTCCTTGTGGACAATTATTATAAATAACTGTTAAAATGTATAACGCCAGTGTTTGCTGTACAAGATTTTGTGTTGTAACCTTGTATAATTATTTCAATAAAAGTGCTTTAAAAACAACAGGAATGATGAATACCTTTTCCTAGAATGTTCTTTCATAGGTACAAATAAAAACTCCTTATATTACACATTCATATATTTAGCAAATATCATTTGTTTACAAATTGTTATTTTATTATTAATCTTTTCTTTTATTTAGTTTTTCTTTTGTTTATTTTCCATACCATTTTGTGCTTACCCCCTTGGATGTTTAATTGTATGGAATTTTCACATTATTTCCTGTAGTCAAATTGTGTCGCATTAGTTAAATAAAAAAAACCTAAATACAAATAATTAAAAGCCACTTCCGGTACCTCTGCCGCCTTAACCCTCCTGTTATCCTTTGGGTCAATTTGACCCCATTCAATGTTTAACGTATCTAAAAAAAATTGTTCACATTATTTGCTTAGTATTTCATGACTTTTCCTAATTTAGTGAGGACTAATGGGTAAACATAACATGTCCTGTACGCACTTTGTACGCATCGGTGTTCCTTGGGGTACATTTGACGCCAGGCTGTTTTAGTAATATAAAACATGTACAAATTTCAATATTTTACACATATTTGTATTGATTGTGTGGATGATATTGAGGTGACTATTACATGCAAATGTATCATTGTAAAAAAAAAACTACCCTCTACTTTAGTTATTGGTCCTTTAACAACATCAAAAAGATCTTACTTTAACATTTTATATCAGTCAGTGAGATTTTATGGTGATTTATATATTTGTCGATAGTCACATAATAGGAATTCTGGATGTATAAAGGGGTCTGTAGGGGGGAAAGTTGGGGTAATGTTTTATTTAAATGGTTATTTAGGTAGTCAACTAAGATAGCCTACCTAAAGCACCAGAGACATACATGTTGGTTAACATTTGGAATATGATCATTGTCTTGAGTTTTAAACTACTGGGATCAAATTGACCCCAGAGGATAAAGCGTGTAAAGTAAATCTGAGGATAACAGGAGGGTTAAGCCACCCAGCGGATTTCTACCGGAAGTAACAGGAAGTGAACCATCGTAGCAGAAAAACTTCTTCGGAAAAGTCCACCTGTAGCCAGGGCAACCGGCGTCCATAGCAACCAAACTCAACCGGGAAATTAATGTCATCTAAAACAAGCTTTGCATTCCTTTGTTGTGGTATTTTTAAATAAATGCATGCATCATCCAAACCACTGCATTCCATTGCATTGCCCGTAATAAAAATAGCCGAATAAAAAGTATAAACAAATCGAGATAGTGGACAAATCACCAGTTTATAGCAGTAAGCAAAGCAATTTATAATCATCTATACCAGGAAATAATGTTTTCTGCAACGCTTTGACTAACCCATACATTATAAATGTGCACAAATGTGACTTATAGCCTCTAATGCATTACATAAACATGGTGCAACAGATGAACTGCTTTGGTCAGATTTAGGTCGGTGGTCTTTAATTATTGATAAACTTACATGGTAGTCTCTGTGCCAGCTCTCAAGTTTGTCCTGCAGGACGCTGAAAGGGGATGTGTGGGTCAGTCTCCTCAAAGTATCGGCCATGTCCGTCCTAATGAGCCTACTGGGAGCTTTAAAATGCTCCTGCAGTAGGACACGATGCAGTTAAAATTCCTGTCCTGGCAGCTTTTCTCCACCTACGACTGTGATGCCAAGCACCGCCTCAGTTGTGGCAACCAGGAGACGAGACTGTAGGCGACAACCTGAAAACAAACCACTTTAAATACAAATAATTCCAGACGGATAAACTAGGAGCACTGCTGTCTCTGTCTCTCCTCTGTAGGCTCTGTTCTGCCGGGGTGTAAATACGATTGTAATGTCATACTGTCAAACGACACCAAAGGCCTGCAGAGTGAACTGAAGTGTGTGTGTGTGTGTTGAAGTTAATCCGATTATAATACTGTAGTGTAGGACATACATGAGAGTAATACATGAATTACAAGTGCAGTGAGTGTTGGGCTGTCATGATAATGAATGGAGTACAAATGTAAAAGAGATGTAAAAAATATTTAAGCATAACTTATCCAAGTCATTTGAACACTTTCTTTTAAAACAATGTATTTATTTTACATTTCAAAAAATCTAATAAGAAAATAATTTTGCTCAAAACAAAGAAATGTTATCAAAAAAATTATGATGAGAACGTAAAACCGATGTATTAATTGAATTTATTAACTTAAATAAAATTATTAATTAGATTATACCCATTCCCTAAATAAATCTGTTTCTATTTAAATATAGGCAGGATTCAATAACAAATAATAGCCTAAGCTGAAATATAACTGTTTGATACATTTACTACTTTGTACCAAATGCTGCTTAGAATGTATTGTTGGAGCTTGGATGAAACAGTGTTATGGTTATGGTCCGCTTGGCATTTTACCTATGGAAAATATGAATGAACATGTTTTTCTATTTTGGGACCCTTCTCTCATTGGATGGTTGAACTTGGAATGCACCATATTTTACTTGTATATAAACGTCCCTTTTTAGCTCGCTTAATGCAAATACAAATTGCACAGGGTTGTTTACGTTCGTTTTATCAAAACCTTTTTATTCCTAACTTATTTCGACCTGTTATAATATCACAACATACCCGTTCTTTATTTTCGACCGTGAAAAGTGGTACGGTCCCATTCACTCTGCAAGCAGGAGAGGGAGGGTCAACATGGCGTCTGAACAGGTCCGTTTTCTTCAATATTTGTTGTTTTTCTTGCATTTTAGTACGTGTATTGCTTGTTGTTTGCCAATAGGGCAATGATATGTTCCCGATTGACCCGGAGTAATACATATAAATGTATTCCGCTTTGTTGTCGGTGTTATAAATACTCGCCACCGTGTCGTTATTATAGCTAGCGTTACATGGGAATAACAATGCCGTTATTGTAACCGATGTGCTGGTAAACAGCATCGATGTTATGCTAAAATAAAGGCCATAGAAGCTGCTTAATAAGGACACACGGGCTTGCCTCTATTTATTGCTGCTAAAATGAGTGCAGTTTATTTTTAGTTCTGGCCACAGACAGGCAGTCGTGGGGTATTTAACTGAGAGGCATTCCAGCACTGAGTCTAGAAACAGGAGATAAATAGGAAGGAAACAGGGATCACAATTAATTCATTTTGTCCACCTGCAAAATAGCTAGATAGATTTTCATTGGTATTTTGTATCTACCAGCCAATATTTTACCATAATTTGCCTGGTAAATCGTACTAATTGATAGAGATAACATCTCAAACCTAAAGATTGTAGAGGTAGGTAGAAGCAATGTAGAGTAAACTGTTCCAATCAGGAAGAAACGCATGGAAACAATATAAAATGCTACGTGTGAAATGTAATTATCTTGCCTTGGAGGGTATTTAGATTTGAAAGGGTCAATTCCAGTATATCTATGTGGAGGGTGTTATAAGTTAGATAATATAATGTTTTATTAGCCCTACAGTGTGGGCATTTGCCATGGGACAGCAGTAAAGTGCAATAACAAGGACCATCAAAAAATAGCTTGATATGATAACTATATAAACTTTAAAAAGCTAAATAAAATCAGTAGACAGACCTGTTGAGTCTGCAGCAGCAGGAAGAACCTGCAGTTGTCTTGTTCACAGCGTAGGTGAACCTGCAGTTGTCTTGTTCACAGCGTAGGTGAAGCAGCCTGTCCTTGTTACACATTTGAGTGTTGTTTTGTTAACAAGTAACATGTAATTTGTTTATTGTTTTGCCTTTCCAGGAGAGTTCAAATGGGCCTGTGAAGAAGTCAATGCGGGAGAAGGCTATAGAAAGACGGAATATCAACAAGGAACACAACAGTAACTTCAAAGCAGGATATGTACCCATAGAAGAGGAACGTCTTCATAAAACTGGACTGAGAGGACGAAAGGGAAACATGGCTGTTTGCATCGTTATCCTCCTCTTCATCCTCGCCTTAATTAACCTTATTGTAAGCTATACAAATGTCAATCTAATGCATTGTCTTGAATACACTACTGAAAAATATGATAAAAAGTTGGCAGAGCTTCATATATCATTATGTGTTGTTGCATTATTTCCCTCAGATCACTCTGGTAATATGGACAGTGATCCGTATTGGTCCGAATGGTTGTGACAGTATGGAGTTCCATGAGAGTGGACTGCTGCGCTTCAAACAGAAGGCGGACATGGGCATCGTTCACCCACTGCACAAGAGCACAGTAGGGGGCCGCAAGGACCAGGACCTCGTCCTCGTTGGAAACAACAATCCGGTAAGAAACACAGAGGAGACTCACAGTAAACACTGAGCAATTTGAAAAGATAGAAGCTTAAATATTGTGTGCATATTTTTATAACGCTTCTCGTTAATTTGATGCATGTCGTTTCAGGTTGTGTTCCAGCAAGGCACCACTAAGCTGAGTGTGGAGAAAGAAAAGACCTCAATCGTTAGTGACGTTGGCATAACCTTCACAGACCCTCGGACACAGAACACGTACTTCAGCACAGACTTTGAAAACCATGAGTTCCACTTGCCCAAAGGAGTCAAAATTCTCAGTGTTAAAAAGGCTTCCACCGAAAGGGTGTGTATAATGCTTATAATAACTATAACAGAAAAGTAATATTAGCCTAACAATAGTTTTTATTTGTATTGGTTTGTGCACAGGTTGTGAAATACTATCAGTAAACAACAACCAATAATAGTTCAATTAAACTTTAGTTACTGCCTTTGTTTTTGACTGTTGTGTTCAATTTGTCTCTTATTTTAGATCACCAGTAGTGCATCTTCTGACCTGAACATTAAAGGGGACGGCAAGGCCATCATTCGTGGAAACGAGGGCGTCAACATCATGGGCCGGACTGTAGAGTTCAAAGTGGGCGGAGGCATCGAGCTCAGGGCTGTAAGTATGGAGTGTTGTAACATGGGTTACGGAGGGCAGGTTTTATAATAAAGGTTTTTGCAAACTCTTGCATGTATATGGTTTAAAGATGGTTTATATACATGTGTTATTTTCTCTTTGCAGGAGAACAGCATCATTCTGAATGGATCAGTCATGTTCAATGCTTCACGCATCCCTAACTCTGCAGGAGATGTGTATTTTGATGAAGGCATGGAACGGTATAAGCTCTGCATGTGTGCAGATGGGACTCTGTTCCGTGTGCAGGTGAAATATCCCAACATGGGCTGCCAGACTTCAGATAACCCGTGTGGAAAAACTCAGTAGGAGAGTTGGCTAAAGTCTACTTTCAAGTGTCTACATTTTGTCACCACTGAAGTCAAGTTACACATTTGTGTGTATAGAACATTCTATAGGACATTTATCATGACTTAGTAATACCTCTGCAGTGTACCCGTCAAATTCTGTATTCCTTATTTTAGTTGCCAAACAGGAATTGTGTTACAGATCATTGCCACTTGGCCAAAGATATGAACATATGTGTTTTGATGGTTTTCAGATGTGCCAACTGTATACTAATTTATGCCATATCAGTATAACTCATTGTGGTTTGCAATGGCCATTGATAGAAATGAGAAACAGCAGTATTTTCTTTTTGCCTTACCGTCCAGTATTACCAATTTACAAACCTTGTAGAGGTATTGTATTTGCTCATTTGTTCATTGTTTCTGGCAGCTTTGTTTGAGATTTTGTTAAATTATATTTACTGAGAAGCGTGAGACACTACATGATGTATAATTTCATTTGGCATAAACTCTAAAACATGAGAAACATTTTTTTAAGCCATCCAGTAATAAAGCAGCAGAGAAGGTCTCTTTCTGGGACTGTCGATAATGCACGTGCCAATGGATTTAAAAGGGATGATATATAATATAATATGTATCTAATATTCTATTTTTTTTAAAGCAAAATAACACAATATTAAAAAAAAAGGAGATTGTGTGACAAAAATATATTGAAATATTGAATGACAGGAAAGTCTAAATCATTTTTGCTTTAACGCCTTTATTGAGTGGTTTGAATTTTATGTAATATAGTATAAAATATTTGACTTTTGCTTTGGATTGTCTTGTCTTTTAAAAAAAAAAGTGCTGATGTTGAGAAATGTTCTAAGAGCCTGTTGTGAGAAAACATGTTTTTGATCAACTAATGAAAATAACAACAAAAAACAATCAGCCTTATTTTTGAAAGAAAATGTTGAACATTTCATTGCTATGTTTGTTTCAATAAAGAAACGTGTTGCTATGTGAAACTTCTTATCATTGGCTTCCGGAAATTCCTCAAGTGTTTATATGGTCATTTAAAGCCACAAAAGAATACTGTGCCTCATTATGCTGTTTTATTATGTAATAAATGTACAGGGGCAGGGTTCTACTCGCCATAAAGCCCTCAGGATCCGAGTTATCTACTATTCAGGAGGAGGAAAACAATCATAGTAAGATATTAACTAGACATGTGAATGATTGCATGAATCACAGAATGGCATCTCGAGGGTGGGTCCATGTTAAGCTCGACGCAGCAAAATATTCTTCAGACTTTGATCAGAACTGCCAGAGACGGTCAAAGTTAAACACCTGAAGCTCTGGGTGTGAAAACACAGTCACAAGTTTTCCTGCCAGCCTGACAAAGAGTAAATACACAGGTGAGTT